CCACTCACTATCTTTCGGTTCATGTGCAGCGTATCAACCACTTTCAGAATCACTATGAGCTCACGCGCAAGGATTTACTGGTCAAGAACCTAAAGCGCGTCAAGAGGCAGCTCGAGCGCAGGTGCGCCATCGCTGTAGTCTTGCCACGAATGTAGATGTGACATTGACGCTTATCGAAGTGGTGACCCGGATTCTCGTCGAGAAGCGGAGCTCTACGATTTCTGGGCGGCGACGTTTGTTCTGCCACATGAGTACGGTATGTTTGTAGAGGAATTTAAGCGTATGCCAGGAGGTAGATGGATCATGAAGCCTGTGGGTAAGGCACAAGGTCGTGGCATCTTTCTGTTCGAGAAGCTTAGTGACATCAGCGAGTGGAAACGAGACGCTTCTTGGAAAGGTGACGGTGCAATGCAGGCCAAGACTGCAGACACGTATATTGTGCAGAAATACGTCGAGTCACCGTACGAAGCTGACCTTTCGGCTTCTCCAGACACAGAGCGACGTACGGCTTCAAGGTAAGCGTCAGGTCAAGCTTGTTTGAGTGTGTATGCCTGTCGGTGAACTCGAAGCTCTGTAGCGAGGGTTCATTTGGCAAGACAAGAGGCTTTGTGTATTGGCCGATTATTATCGGGAGGTTTTACGTGACGGCTTATTGTTGCCTATTTGCACGACTGGGAGTGCTTGAATTGCCTCCCTTTTATTTCTTCTGGCCGAGTGTTGAACACTCGGTGATCTCGTAAAAGGCGTACCCGTGCCTGGTACCTTTCCGCTGTTGGGACCACGAGGATTCAAAACACCTGCTAGCTTTGCTCGTGCTAGTAGCGTGTTCTTATTTTACTGGTTGGCCTATATAAGTAGTTTACAAGGTCCAGTTTGTCCCGGTGCAAGGGCAGAACTGGGGTCTTCAGGTCAGCCCGAACGATCGTTTACTATCCTAGTAGACGTATTGCTGTGGGAACATCCTAACTACATCTGTAGCTAGAGTTCACGTGGGATTTCCAACACCACACTGACCTCAATCCACACTCGTCGCCATCAGGGATCTCCACCAACGGTACCCAAATTCGCGATCTCGGCAGCAGACTCACGACCAAGCGATGGAGATCCAGGGCTGGAAACATCGGAGAGATTCCAGAGATAGGGGCTTGTGGAGGAACGCTGGCAAGATTGTGAACAGCCGCTATTTATGCTGGCGCTGTTCTTACACCCTTCCAACGTTCATACCGCTAGAGCCCTGCCTCGCACAGCTATTTCATCGGTCACAGCAGCATGCAACTTTGCGGTACTGTATTTCCAGCGTTTTTTTCGTGTCGCAGTCTGGGTCGACTTCGGGACCAAATGAGCCGGTGGTGTAACCGTGAGCTGTATGTCGAAGATGACGAACCGTTTTCAATCAGTGACTTTGGTGGGGATGCCGCAAGCTACTAGAAGTATGCCAGGGATTTAAGAGCAGGTACAAACCTGCCTGATCTTGCAATTGCTGTGCTGTCAATCGCTGCAAATACAGCGACTTGCGAGCGGTATTTCAGTGAGGTCGGGCGAGTTCATACAGCAACGCGAAATTGCCTCAAACCTGATAAAGCAAACAAGTCTGCAGCAATGCGCCAAGCTGTTTGGGATCGAGATCGTTTCCGTGAAGAATCAACCAAGGCTGAATGTCATGATATCGATGATGAGCGTACGGAAGAAGATAGTGAAGGCAACAAATACGTTAGCCGCATCATCAAGCCTGACGAGCGTCCTTTTCGAAGCGAAAGTTTGGCTTATGATCCCACAGCATTGGATATGTCAGTAAGTGAAGTTTCAGTTCGCTCCAATGAAACTTCAAGTCGCCATCTCTCCACGAACATCTCTTCGACTGCTCCAACCCATTACGGTGCCCGTACGTTAAGCCGTCCAACCATCCCAATTTATCCACATAAATGCTTATCGAGCATGCCGGATTCTCTAACAAAGAGCGAAGATCTACCTGGTCAGCTGAACCCGAGCCGAAGGTTGAACTTTTCGAGTGCTGGCACACATCAGATGCAAGACGATGCGGCTTTTGTAGCACCTGTCGATGGAGAGCGAGCCAATCTCAATTCGCCACATTCTCTTGAGTACTCCAGCAATATGTTAGCCAACAATGACATCCTTGCACATTGGCGATGGTTATTTGATGAAATATCAGACACTTTATCAATAGATCGCACCTCTGCGATCGATGGACGTCAAGCTATCGACGGCGCCGTACAAGAATCTCGCATGTTTGGAGAATATGTTGATAATGACCAACCTGACGTAGTGATGGATGGCGAGGATGACTCTATTCGACTCCGTGGACGACCCATTCCACCTTACAATGATCCACAATTTCCCCAAGAAAAAACACTGGCAGGTATGCGAGGCAAGAAGGCAACCCTGAAAGAATTGTTTATCTACCGAGCGTGACACCTGCGTAGCTCAAAACCGCCATCGTTTTGAGATGCTGTGCTAGCTGTGCTGACGTTGGCGACTTTGCTATGCCCCAACCTGACGTAGTGATGGATGGCGAGGATGACTCTATTCGACTCCGTGGACGACCCATTCCACCTTACAATGATCCACAATTTCCCCAAGAAAAAACACTGGCAGGTATGCGAGGCAAGAAGGCAACCCTGAAAGAATTGTTTTATCTACCGAGCGTGACACCTGCGTAGCTCAAAACCGCCATCGTTTTGAGATGCTGTGCTAGCTGTGCTGACGTTGGCGACTTGGCTATGCGCTTCCACATCCAAGCTTCTCAGTTGGTAAGCCAGTGGCGACTCGAAACAGCATTCCGGGAAGGGTCCACATCTCCATTACATGAGTCTTCGGTTTGTAGGTATTTTCAGGGCTTTGATGATAAACCTCATACAACAAGCTATCGAGATAGTTAGCATGCACTCGTTCTTATTGTTGTTTCAGCTAATGAGAAGCACCGCGTTTGCCAAAGAGGATCGGAATTGTGAGCTCTTTTTTCCAAGTAGGTGATCACTGCTAGCGCGCCCGGGTTACGCATTCATTAAGTTTGATACGGGGGTGTGTGATCGTCATCGTGCTGTTTTCACGATGAAAGCATCTACCGTTAGTACAGTAAACGAGCAATGCTTAATTAGAAAAGCTAAAGTGTAATAAAACGAGTACTTTAAGTATTTAAGTAGGCCTGGCTGACGTTTCCTCAAATGCTGCTTGTAAACTAAGGCTCAATTTGATAAGCAAATGGTCCAAGAAAGTCTGCAACGACACAATCATCGTAGTACCACCATGGGGGTGGCATCCCACATGCGTAACGACAGCGAGTCATATCCAGAAGAGCACGGCTCCGCAGATGTTCCACGAGAGCTCCAGTGTCAACAGGTAATTGCCCGCCTTGCGGTAGCTCAGTCGAAGAAGTTTTGGCTGTCGTTCCGTGTCGCAATCATAGAAAAATCATTGAATATACAGGCTTCTGTTCTTTGGCTTCTGCAAGATGGTCGTCCAATTTCTTTGGCATCTCGGTGAAAATGTCAATTAGGTGCAAATTGTGCTTGGTTTGTCAGAAGACGTCGTCTCTGATGTGTCACATGCTCGGTAACGTCTTGACCACATGCCACACGGAACCACGAGCCCATTTCAAACACCATCAGCTCAGTGCTTTGGTCAGTGAAGAATTTCAAGTACTCGTAGCGCGTCCTGCCACAGTGCAGCATCTTAGCGGCCATGTTGACGTCCACCACTTAGCCGGTCACACACCGGCTTGTCATCGACCGTGGCATACACCAGTTCCATAGTCGATGGTATTGCAAAAACCGAGACAATGATATTGGTACTGGACGCTCCTCTATACCAATATAGACTTTGTTTTTCTCGTCATGCGAGTATATAGCTATAATCCATACGCCGCGCGGTCGAGACGATGCTGGTTTCCGCAGAACTTAGCAGAAGCTGCAACGTTGTAAGCATACAACTCACTGCCATCACATCGTGTACGTGGTTCTTGGGTAGCCTTGTGTCGAAACCCGGTCGATCCAAGTAAAAAAAATCATCGTCCAGAAACACC